ATAATATTGTGAGGTCCAAAATTATGTAAGGTAGTTACTAGTCAAGTCCCTTATTCCACGTTTACTATATTCCAGCAAGTTAGGATTCTTTCTTCTCCATCTCTTGTTTTATTCTTCATTTATCTTTGAGAAAAATATCAAAAACACTTCTAAACTTGGCGCAAATTATTAGTTTCATCCACGAATTATTGATAGCCTTAAAAATACTCATCTACTTGACCAACTAAACTTAGATACACCCCTGATACACTTTCGATATGCAACATGACATAGCAAGTGGTCTCAAACTCTTGAAGGAGCATGGAGTTCTTAATAAAAATCGAGAGAAGATCAGTTGAAAACACTCCTAAACTTGATGAAAATTTAGGGGTGTATTTCACTAATGTTGCAAGATCGGGAGTATATTTAACTTCAATTAGTCAATTAAAGGGGTGTTTTTAAGGCTGTCAATAATTTGGGGATAAAACTAATAATTTGCGCCAAGTTTAAGAGTGTTTTTCATACTTCTCTCTTTATTCTTTCTTTTCCCCTTCAAGAAATTCACACGTTGGTGTAACACAAATTATTGGACCAAAAATGGTTTTGAACGGAAATATAACAACTTTGATTTTATGTTTGAGTCGGTCAACCATTCCCATTCTTGATTCTTGCCTATACAACTTAGAGTTTGTTTGGAATGGCTTAATAATTGGTCAAATCTATTTGTAAGTTATTTTTAGCTTTTGAAAGTATTTGACAAGGTCAAAAATAAGTTTAAAGAGACTTAAAAAGAGTTAAAAGCTAAAAAAAGGTCTCTCCATACTTTTTATTTTTTGACTCAAAAGTCATTTAAGTTTGATTTTTTTATTTTTTTGACTTAAAATATACTTTTTTTTAAGTCAATCCAAACATGCTCTTATTGTCATGACTCAAAAGGTATTACTTTCTTATATACTTGACTTCATATTAGCCGTCATGTATAAATAATAAAAGATAGGAAGAACTATCGTTATGCTATGAGGATTCAGAATTTTTACTAAAAGAATTTAAAAAATAAAAATATAGTGCTTAGTTAAATATCTTCTCAACCACAGATGACGGTTTTGGTCTATACATTCTAAAAAGAATGAAGAAGTAGAACTATTTGTGATTTCACATGGAATTGCAAGTTGCAAATTATATATAATTTTGAACTCCTTTAAATTATTTGAAATCGAATTCATTGTGCTATTGATCTATTGGGCTACTAATTTTTTGAAGAAAATAATTTCGAACCTTCCATTGTTCGTTAGTTTGAAGGCCGAAATTGTGGACCAAATATTGTCCATACTGATTATTTAATTTGTTACCAAAATCAATTGGCTACTTGATCCACTATGAAAGGAGAGATCAAAATACATATTTGAAGACTATTATTAGGGAATTCCATGAACTATTATTAGCCACTATTATTTCGAATTGAGCTTGAAAATATGAATCCTCCATTATTGAACTAGCGAAGAATATGAGTTCAAATTTGAGTTTGAGAATTAATTAGTGAAGAAGATATATTGAATATTGTATACCATTTTGTGTATATTATATATGGATTTAGTTTATATTATTTAATTCAATAGTGTACAATTTGTTGCAATAGTATGCTCCAAAAATATACAGTATAATGTAATATTATACTTTTACAACTAGGTCATTTTTCAAAATTTTGAAAATTTGACTTATTGTATACAAACTCGTTTTGAATGAATGATATATTATAAGATTGAACAAATCAAGAGGAGCTCATATCTAAAATTTGAGACTATTTAGATGAGAAGTTGATTGGGATTGGAAACAATTTTTAGCTCATTGAGGAAGATGGGTTGTAGCAATGCATCAAGATTGTATAATAATGTATATAAATGTACATATATCTCTGTACGTAGTTATACATTATTTATACAATAAAATGATTAGAGAAAAGATGACTGAAAAGAGAAAGAAAGAAAAAAAAGTGAAAAAATAATATTAAAATCACATGACATTGACATGGAAATATGGGAGTTGGACATAAAAATAGGTATAAGGATAATTATTTTCATAAGTACTATTATTAGAGGGCATTGATTGATAAAAGTGAGTATTGAATAAATAATCCAAGTTTTGTTTTACCTAAATAAGTACGATTTAATTCACCTATCGACAAAAAATAGTCCAACTATGATTTAGTTCAAAATTTTCACCGGAAGAATCCAAAAAATAAAAAATATAGTGCTTAATCTGTTAATCATCTTCTCAATCGCAGATACCGGATTTGATCTATGAAGAAGTAGAACTATTTGTGATTTCACATTTGATTACTTGGGCTACATTGAGCTTACCTACTGATTTTTTAGAGAAAATATTTTGTACTTCCCATTGTTGGTTAGTTTGAAGGCCAAAAATGGTGGACCAAATATTGTCCATCCTAATTATTTATGGAAAATTTTCAAAAATAACTATAGTTTAGATTTAAATTGAAGATCTATAGCTATAATTTGTTTAATTACGAATTATAACTAGGGGAAAGAGAGGCGAGCAAGACTAGGAGAGGGAGGAGAAAGGCGAGCGAGATCTGATAGAGAAAGGATACACGTGAGAGAGGTTAAATACTTGTTGTATCAGGTTGTATCACAAATACAATTTATACAACTGATTTGTATCAAAATGAATACAATATTCATTTTAGGAGGAGAGAGGCGAGTGAGATCTAGAGAGGATGAATACATATTATATGTGTTGTATCACGAATACAATTGATACAAAATACAAATACAGTTGAAACAAATACAAATATAATTGTATCAATTGTATTAACAAACACAATTTGTGTTGACGAATATAAGTGGTAGAATTCAACATAATACAATTGATACAAAATACATATATAGGTGATACATAATAGAAATATAATTGTCATATTTACGTGGAATGTTTTTTGGGATGCAACTGTTTGGGCTGGAGAGAGAGGGGCGAGAGAGGGGTAAGTGGGAGGAGAAAGGAGAGAGGAGAGGAGAGGAGAGAAGAGAGAAATTTGTTATAAAACTCTATATATAGCTACAAATTATAATATTTTTAAACTATAGTAATTTATTTGTAAATACATATCAAAATCAAGTGGGTACTACTGAACAAGATGGCTATCCGATCCACTATGAAGGAGCTTTGAATTTGGAGATATCAAAAATCCAAATTTGAAAACTATTATTTGGGAAACCCATGAACTATTATTAGCCACCATTATTTCGAATTGAGCTTGAGAATCTGATACCTCCATTATTGAACTAGTGAAGAATGTGAGTTCGAATTTGAGATTGAGAATGAGTGAAGAAGATATAATGAATATTGTGTACCATTTTGTGTATATTACATATCAATTTAGTTTATATTATTTAATTCAATAGTATACAATTTATTGCAATAGTATACTGCAAAAATATATAGTATAGTGTAATATTATACTTTTTACAACTAGGTAATTTTTTTAATTTTTGAAATTTGACTTGAAGCATACGTGAATCATTTTGAGGGAATAATATATCAAAAGACCTGAAAATCGAGAGGAGCTCATAACCAAGATTTAGGTATGCTTAGAGGAGATTTGAGCTGATCGGAATTGGAAAAAAATTTCACCTCATTGAGAAAGATGAGTTGTAGCAATGTATTAATATTGCATAGCAACGTATATCAATATACATGTACATATACATCTCTGTACATAGTTATACATTATTTATACAATATAGATACATTACATATACATGCAGTCATTAGCTGATATTTTTTTGGGAAACTTACATAAATCCTACTAGTTTATGAGCTAATTACTTAGATACACTTTAGTTTACAATATTACATATCTTTACCAAATTTTGGTACGTCCGAATACATGTACCTCCCGATACATGAGGTCAAATTTGTTCTAGATACATTGTATCAAAATGGATTCGCTTGTATCTAAGATACATAGCAAATCTCGCTCGCCACTCTCCTATGTATCTGGTATCCCAGATACATTCGCGTGTATCTGAGATATAAAAAAATATCGTTCTACCCCCTCCCCTTTTCACTAGCCTCTCACCCTAATTTAGTGTATCTAGTAACAAAAATACATGTGTATAAGCGTATCTCTCTCAATATATGATGGAAAACTCTTAATTAGTGGTAAGATACGTAATATTTTGAAAGTATAGATAATAATAGTATATATATGATAGTGAAATATGTCTAATTATGTAATTTATCCTTCTTTTTTATGTTGGTTGTATATTTACCTAAGAAACCCCAAGATAAGACTGAAAAGGCAAAGAAAGAAAGAGAAAAGGTGAAAAAAATAATATAAACATTGACATGGAAATATGGGAGTTGGACACAAAAATAGGTATAAGGATAATTATTTCCATACGTACTATTATTAGAGGGAGTTGACCCATAAAAAGTTTGGATTGAATAAGTAATCCAAAATTTTAACCCAAATACAATTTATTTCATCTATTGACAAAAAATATCCCAACTTCAAGTTATTGGCCCAATTGATATTTTTATGTATAATTTTACATAAATCTCGTAGTGTAAATTCTAAATTACATCATATCCCTACTATTTTCTATTTTATAAAAATTCCTTAAAATATCAGCCATCCGAATACATAATTGGCTGTCTGGATACATTAATTGTGATACATTATATATGTGGTCGTTGCGCTTAAAAAGGAAAACAAAACAGAAAATCAAATTAAAATCTCATAATTTACGCTATTCAGATCCTCTTTACTATGTCAATCAGAGAAATATAAATCCTAAAATAACAAATCAATTCAAAATTCAAAATCCCTGTTCATCTTTATCATTATTTCAACGAAGAAACTTTCAAGTAGGATTTAAAACTTTTGTTGAAAATTTGATAAGATACATAATGATATTTTGATTTTTGACTGACACTCTCGAAGGAAGAAAAAATTGAAGATCGTAGCTTTTGGGTTCTTCAAATTCTAAACAAATCTCACCATGATTGACGACCAGGACCCGGGTTTCTTTGCCAACTTTCTTGATATCTTTATTTTTGTGTTGGTGATTGCTTACCATTGTGTGATGTCAGATCCCAAATATGAAGGCAATTGAAAGTTGTTATTTTATAATTAGCTTGGACAAAACTAATTATGTTTATTTGTCATAGCTTCAATTTTCGAATTGAAAGATCTGATAACAAAAGGTATGCAATACATATTCTTGTGCTTTAATCATTGTTTTTTCATTCATGAATCTGTATATTGATCGATAAATGGTGATACATTACTTATTAGAACTTGATACATTAAAAACTTTGACGTATATGTTATGGGTTTGCAGATCTGTTAGTTACTGTACAATTAATATAAAGTATCAGATACATATGGATTTCTTTTTTTATTATTGAATTTGTATATGCATATATAAATCATGATATATTACTGATTTCAACTTGATTCAATTCTAGTTTTATGTATATGTAATGAATTTTTATGGATGTGAGTTAGTGTGTTATTACAATAACGTTCCAGATACATGTGAATTTCTTTTTTTTTAAAAAGTGTATTAGTATATGAACTTTTTAATCGATATATGAAGGTATGTATCAATTTATAAATTATTATGTATATGAAGTTAGTAATCATTAGGTTGTTGTGTATCTTCAATTGAGTTAATTGATATGTGATGTATCTCTAACTTTCAAATGTTCGTAGGTTGTTTCATCTTCTAAATTTATTTATTAAGTGTATAAGGGTAGACGAAGATACATTGTTTGCGTTGAGAGAAAAATATGTAACTGTAGATTTCAGCATGATGAGATACCTTGTGCTCACTTAATTGCTGTTGTGAAGAGAAAAAACATCACAGAGATACATCCTTGCTCTGATTACTGCAAACCAGCTGCATTAACAAATACGTATGAAGTCCCAATGATTTCAATGCTGGATAAGGACGATTGGTCAGTACCGAATTTGTTTGAAAGAAATTGTCTTGCCACCTAGGTACAAAAAGATGACTGGACGACCAAGGAAAAGGAGGGAAAAGATCTAGATGGAAAGATAATCACAAACACAAACATTTGTGTACGTTGTGGACAAGAATGTCACAAACGAAGAACTTGTACTTTCTTTCCGAAAGAAGATTGAAAAACTCTTTTTTGGGAGTATTGTTATGTTTCAGATACATTATTTTGACATTATAAATTTTCAATTTTTTGCTTTTTCCACTTTTACCTTGATAAAACATTACAATTTATGATTAGCTAGTGAAATTCTGATACAATAAATTGAAATGTTAAGATTTTCAATCCTGTGTTCATTTTAGTAACACATTATGTTTCATATACCTTTTTAAAATAATGTATCATTAGCTATTTGATAATAATGTACCCGGAATTGTGTTTGTGGAGATGGTACCACTCAATATGGTTCTGATACATTTTTATATAAGGTATCGTGATCTATTTGAAAATGATGTATTTGATATAATAAGGTTGTGAAAAAGTAGTATGTAAAATGAAATAAAGTGTATCTATAAATGTACCACAATAAGTAAGAATTAATCTATCAATTAGATACATGAATGAATCAAGAACAAACTACAACTAATTATTCAATGTATCAACATGAATGAATAACAACTAACTAGAACTAAGTTATCAAGTAAATAGATAATTAAACCAACAATCAAGTTATAAATTACATTGCATTGGTTAGGTGTCAAAATGTATCATCAATCAACAACTAACTAAAACTAATGAGAAGAAATAATATTGTATGTTTATGCATTAATGAATCTAATACTTGGTTTTATTCAAATTTTGTATCAGTTTATATAAGACAAATGTGTACGACAATTCATATCGTAAATAACAACTAAAAATAGTGAAAGTTAAAGTCAAAATAAATAACTTTTTAGAGAAGCACTCTAAAACTTGAGTACGAGTATCTTAAAACAATAAAAATAAAAATAAAAATCTAAAACTAGAGTTAATGTATCTCAAAACAATAACACTATAAAAAAGTGTCTAACAACTGATAGATAATCTCTATTCAACATTAACCAAATCGTCTTTAGCTGGTTTTTGTGAATTGACTCTTAGGCCTTGATGGATTCTCATTTTCACTAACGTATCCTACCTTAACCTTTTCAGTATCGTATTTTCATAATAAGGCTGCATATCGTGTATGGAGGTAAAATTTACCTATGTATCAATCTTTACGGAAACTTTGTTTGACTGTTTGATTTTAGATATATACATTATTGTTTGGTAACAAAGGCTAATTTAATGTATCATAAAGTTGAAACGAAGGCATTATCAACTAGATACATTAAAAATCTGAACCTTGGGTATAGAAGGGTGTTTAGCAACATGTTCTACTATCCCCCCCCCCCCCCCCTCCCCATTTTGTATCAGACAAAGTTGAACAACAAAATATAAAAAAAACTAGTTATGATAAACTGTGAATATATATGATAAACACACATTTAGTTATAAAACAGTACTGCAGATACATAACAACATTTGATACATAATCAATTAGACAATTTGACGTAGTTATGTGTCATATACATAATATTTGAACATGATACATTGAATGTTTAGCAACATGTTCTACTCCCCCCCTCCCCCCCCCCCCCCAATGAATGTTAATCTCCAAAAGCGACAATTGTTGCTAAAGCTTCTTCCAGCTCCAAAAGTTGTTCAACTTCCTCTCACTTCTCCAACCAAGATCTTGCGTGTAATTACATTAGGAAGAGGGATGTTTGAGATGGCACAATCATTCTCGACAAACTCAAATCATCTACAAAACTAACTAAATCCTGTTGAATTACAACATTAAAAGAGAACTGAATCATTAATGTATCATAAAATCATTGAACTAATAATATCAAGTTTAACGATCACAAAAATTGATAAAAAAGATAGAAAATCTAACATTAGGTAAAGAACACCGAGAAATTGCTGGTGTGACTTTTCGACACCTTTTTTGGGGTTTTATCGAGTAGGCTTTTGAAGAATATGGACTATCTTTCTTCACCTTCTTAATGTTTACTTTCGCCATTACGAAAGGATTATGAAATTTCTTAGATCGTTCAATTAATATCTTCATAATCATAAATACGATTGGTGTTAGATGACATTATCTGGGTAATCCCAATATTGAATGAAGGTGCATCATCCATAATGTATTAGAATTTTGATGAAGAAAAACAAAAAAAAAGTATGAACTGTGAGTGAAAAAATTTGAAACAATACCTTGATGGATGATCGACTGGAGAGAGAAAGATCTTAAAATTCAAAATTGTAATGAGAGAATAAACTAATAAGATTGTGGGAGTAAAAAAGGGAGTGATTTGAGGAGTGAAAAGGGGAGAGATAAACATGGGTTAGGAAAAAATAAGTTATGTATCCGGAAGTTGGGTTTAATGGAGTAAAAAAGGGATTTTAGTAATATTTAGAAAGGGTAGGAAATAATAGAAAATATGTTAAATAATGTTGTGTATATACGTAATTTATCCTATTTTTATTGGATAATTAAAATAAATCGCATACATTTGGGGTTAATTACATTCTATCTCGAAAATTTTCCCATTTATAAAAATCCTTGATTTTTCATTAGTCTAAGATACATTCCTTGGTTGTCTGGTACATTGCAAATCATACATTATTTAAGAGACAGACACATTCCTCTGTTGTCAAATAAATTAGTCTCTACTGATTTTGTTGCGTCAGATATATTCCTCATCTGTCGAATACATTGGTCTATAATATGTTGTTGTGTCGGATACGTTCCTTATTGTCGGATACATAACTATGAACATGATTCATAATGAGAGGAATGTATCCCTAAATTCTACTTCCATGTGTATTGTCTCACCCTATAATTCCTTCACCTTTTTCCGCCATCACCCTCATTACTTTTCTCTTTCTCCTTCTCTCCTCTCTCTGTAGCTTATACTAAAATCTACGTAAAATTTTGTATATTGAAAGGTAACATTTGGATTGTACATTGTTAGTGTTCAAAGCTTTTATTGCATTAGACAAATAGATGAATACAATGATAGTTGAAGTTGACATTATCATAAGCTCGACAAGTACAACAACAAACCACATAATCTACTCGGGCATCCATAAGCTACATAGATGCAATTCAATTTGTATGTCCTTATTGATAATACTCTAGCCCGTAGGCAATTATTGCGTCTCAATACCCCCCCCCCCCCCCCCCCCGAGGCATTATGTGTATAGCCCTGAGCAATCATTATGCTCTAATAGCCCTTAAAGCATTTTGTATAGGGTAAACAATACAAATTCTACTAGTTTAGGGCATAATTGTGTGTCTTCTTGTGAGTTTTTAAAATTACCATTCATGTCTGATTTTGATCCTAGATACATGTAGCCGGTGAGTTCAGATGCATGCATCTCGAATAAATGGGATAAAAATTAGGTATAATTTATTTCAGATATGTTTCATACGTATCTAGGATACACAACTCTCTCACTCACCCCTCTCCCTATGTATTTGTATTTCAGAATGTATCTAGTATTTTGAATGCATGTATCTAGTTTGATTCACATTTATATGACATACAATGATTCTCTCGCCCGCCTCTCTCCTTTCTCTGTCGCCTCCCTTCTTATGTATTTGTATTTCATAGTGTACCTGGTAGCAAAAATACATATATCTAGGTGTATCTACCTTGAAATCTGATATATATGAAATTATTAATTAGTAAGTACAGAAACTATAAGAAACGGTATTGAGAAATTTTCTGTGTATTTATTTCTTCTCCAACCATGTATATATACAACTGTGTGGAAAACAAAAGAACCTTATATTAATAACTGATTATACATGTATCTTGCTTTTATTAGCTAACTCTATAACAAACTTTATTCTTTACAATGTCTAAGACAAGGATAAAAAAGGTAACCTAACTAATATATTTTCTAGGTATCTGATACATATATAGGCCGAAAATTTAAACAACTTCATCATTTCTTTAGGCCTATATTGAAGTCTATATTTCCTTCTGCCATCAAATAATGTCGAGGCCTAATCTGCTAAGGCTCAATCTTCTTGTTACTTACCACTTGTGTGTTTTGA